CCTAGTTGGTTCACAGAAGAAAGTGAGCATCAGTGGAGCTGCTCCAGTTGTGGTGAGATAGCTACTAGGCTAGAATTGCCTCAATTCATCTATGGACAAAAATACTGTCCAGGAAAAGGACACACTACTCAGAATAGTTGACTGATAACTCTGCCAAGACAGAGTAAGCAGTCCTTAATAATTCTACTTTGCAAAGGTCTGTTCCTGGGCCAGAAGGCTAAAGGCTGATGCACCAACGTTTTGAGGAATGAGAGACTGTCCAGGTAGTCTGTGGTCTCTACAAATTGGTTAAGTTGTAAAAGCTATGTTTTATGTTTCCTATATTTTCAAGTATATTTAAGTCATCCTCAGATTTGTGACAGTGTTGAAGACTAGTTATAGTCTCATAGTCAACACAAGTTGATTAGCATTGAGAGAGATAATATAGATTTGAAAGGATGGTTTTCAGATTGTAATACAAGCTAAAACCAGAACATAATTCAAGTATAGAACTGTAGCTTCTTAAGTTAGGATAGATGATAGAGTGCTTTATCCAAATTGGCAAACATGATGGACTGAGTGTTAAGTGTTATCTTATACTTTATAATTTGCACAACTGGAATGGTTGTGCTCAATTTATATCTGTAAGAAAAGAGCTTTTTAATTGGACAAAAGGGGGAAAATGTGGGTTGCCCTGGTGCTGTTTGTATTCTAATGTTAATTCTGCTTCTTCAAGAGGGGCTGCTCTGAAGAGTAGATCACATTCTCATCTTCTTCCCATTTTAACTAGTCAGTAGGAGGGAAAGGTGGGGCTGGAGGTTTTGGAGAGTTGGGGAAAGAGTAAGAAAGGGAGGAAGAGAAAATGGAGGAAGAGGAAGTGGAAGGACGATAGAGCAGAACCACATGACCCAGAGAAGCCACAAGTAGCAAGGAATCTCATACCTGGGGAATAGACATGCAGGTTATAAATATTACAGTTGAGTTGTGTGTTTTTGCACAGGCTTATGGGGGTTGGAGATTTACTCCAACACAAAAAGATGGAAAATAGAGAATAGCAGAATATAATATATAAAGGGCAGTTTGAAGCCAGATGATATATAAGAATACATGGTAACATTTCTAGGGACAAACTTTCCAGAGAGCAAGGACAAAGAATGACTTCAAGCCATGGCACAAAAAAACAACCAAAGTGGCAGTTAACTGAAAACAAAAAGCAACTCAAAGGTTGCCATAAAAATACCCATAAAGTTGAGGCCTGAATGAGGGCAGTGAGCTTGGAAACTAAAATCTAGAGGTTTGAAAGGCCATGAAAGTGATCTGAAGTAAGGATTTCATACGTAACTTTACACACAAAAATGTCTAATTACTCCTAATTAGAAGGAATACAACCATCACAGGTCTATTTTGTTATTTAATTTCTATTCTGTCCCTGATATTGCAAAAATATTTCTACTAGATACTGGGAATAAAGACGAGTTTCACATTAAATGGATTTTAACAAACACTTTTTAGGGAATCAGCCTTTTATGAATTCGTGCTTGTAAAATATTTTTAATATAATATATACATATTCCTAAACTCTAATTTAAAATAAAAGTTCTAATAAATGTGTGCTGAAATGTTTTTTATATGAAAACAAAGATAAAATAAACACACATACTGACTTTAAAAAACATGCTTAATCTCAAGTATAACAGCATCTAGTCATCTAACAACCTTAAAAACTCCTTTGACCCCAGTAAATGACAAATCTTTTAACAGTATTACTGAACAATATAAGGTCAAAAAGTTTACAGATGAACCCAACTCTGAATATAAAGGGAGTTAAGGTTAAAAAAAAAAAAAGCTATAAACACAAAAGCTTCTAATACAATGGCTTAAAGAACAAAGTGTAAATTTATTTCTTTCATGTTCTGAGATACAAGGTCTCAATTGGTTGGTAAAGCTGCTTCATGAAACATTTACAGGCCCAGAATCCTTCTGACACATTATTTCACCCCAACCCCTATGATACTGTTATTTAGACTAGAACTGAAGAGAAATTATCCTGAGTTCCAACTGGTAATCCAATTTACAAGCAAGTTGATCATCTTCAAACATGCCTTGGAAGGAGCACTCACTATCTGAATTCACATTTTGCTGACAGAGACCTGATATAATGAAACTGAGCCATGCACAGACCTGTGTACCTCAGACAGGAAATCTGGATCCCTACAAACAAGTAATCTCTGACAAAAAGGTCTTTGAAGCAAAACAAAATACCTTTCATTATAAAAGTTGTAATAAGTCAGGTAGTGGTGACCTTTGAACAAGGAGAGGATTTTGAGAAAAATTGAGATTCTAGCAATATAAGCAGTAATTTTCACTTAGGCTGCCTGGCCAGTGAATTCCCTTTATCTACTTGCCTCTACCTCCAATACTAACGTTACAGACACACGTAGCTGGCTTTTCCATCAAGTACAAGGGATTCAAACTGAGCTGCTCAAGCCTGTTGACTCTTTTTCACTAAGCCATCTCTCCAGCCCCAAGTATTATTGTCTCTTAACTGAGAAAATCTGTTTATTTGTTAGCATTTGTGCTAATACTTGGTAACAAATACTCTGAATGATTTCATCTCAACATCCTAACTTAATATCACTTATAACTTTGTATGAAAGGAAATATGCCACAAATTACTGGCATTGCTGTTTTAAAAATAAACAAATAACAACAACAACAAAAAACACTTGTTACAAATCTTTCAGCTATACCTGAACCTGAGAATATATGCAACAACTTTTTACCATTATACCACACATCATAAACCCATATGGACACACCCATTTTTCTGATACTCAGAGTTTATACATTTTATGGCAGTACAATGACAGAAACACTTCTCTTATGACTATATACAACAGCAACTACTATGTACAAACTCAATAATCTGACAGTCAAGCAAGAGGTATTATAAAAGATCTCATTTCCTTTGAAGATACTAGAATACCTAAAACAAGGAAGAGTGTGTTGTATTAAAACAATGAGATTAAAGGACTTTGAGTTAAGTGAGCAATTTGGTCACAATGAATGGGGAAGGCAGGGAGGAAGCATATTGGAAACCACTTCTTTTGAAGGCAACAAAAATCCCTACAAAATATAAAGTTCTATGGAATAATTTTATAATATTCATTTCACTTAAGTCTTAGTCTTTAAAATAATTAATTCAAAACAAAGGTTTGTAAAATTACTTACTCTTTGTACTCTCTCTCTCATTCCTAGAATCCATTAAATCACCTGAACGCATAGCAGACATAATCTTCTGAGCAACAGTGGAGAGGGGTGTCTCACAGAGATCAAAACCTACACATGCCTCATTATTTTCCATTTTCATAAAGTCCTAGATACAAGATAAGTACCCATATATTAATTTTAAGACTTTAAAAGGATTTATGTATACTATTTTTAAAGGTATTAATAATTATAAGAAACTGGTTTTGATTACATAACACAAATAGAATGGTAAGAATGAGAAGTGAGACATGTTGATGTAAACTGAACTGGCTGAAGCAGGAGAAAAACAGTTCAAGCCTGCCTAGGCAGAGCAAATTCAAGGACAGTCTAGACAACTTAACAAGACCCAGTTTCAGATATTTTTAAAGTTAAAAAAAAAAAAAAAAGCTGGGGATAGAGCTCACTGGTAGAGAGAGCATTTGCTTGGTATGTGTAAGCACTAGGTTTGATTCAACTCTCTGGGTGGTAGTGGCACACGCCTTTAATCCCACCACTTAGGAAGCAGGGGCAGGTGGATTTCTGAGTTCGAGGCCAGCTTGGTCTACAGAGTGAGTTCCAGGACTGCCAGGGCTATACAGAGAAACCCTGTCTGGAGGTGTGGAGTGTAAATAGTTCTGAAAACTACCTATTACTAAACTTCAAGCATATGACTCTGACTATAAATATGTAAATTAAAACTGACTTGGGTCATCAAAGTGGACAACCTGTCATCTTGGCACTTACACACCCTACTGGTTCCCAAGCAGGTAAAGGTTTAGGTAGAATCTGGTTCACACATCTAAATTACCTGGTGCCAATTTAAATCAATTTTGCTACCACCCACCAGGCAAGCAGTTAATGTATTTTTTCCACATTATTTTCTTTCTAAAAATGACCATAAAGCTTTCTGAGCTATGTCATTTTTAAGACTGGCATTCCATGTAACAAAAGTAAAGAATATTCTTAGATGTATTTACTACAGCTGATCTCTTACGGTATTTAGCATTTAACACAAATATATCATAAAATGAGCATCTGATAACTGATAAGCAGTCTAATGTGGTGATGCATGCTACAATCCCAGCATAGTTAATGCAGGATCATGAATTCAGAGAGAGGCAAAGGCACACAGATCTTTTAAACTCAAGCCCAGTCTGGCTAGCCAGTGCTACAAAAGCACAGCACCTCCACTCTGAACAGTGGTTACAGGGGTTAACAACCAAACTGATGCAAACTAAATGCTTTCTATCTTAAATGTGTGGGACCAAAGTGTTTTAGATACTTTAAATTTTGTACATATACAATTAGGTATCTTAGGGATAGAACACAAGCTGAAATGTGAAATTCATTTTTCTTTCGGACAAACTGAAGGTTGTTTTATAATTTAGCATATCTGTTTTGTGACTCTGACCTGTTATGTAAGATTAGATGTAGAATTTTTCACTCATGGAATCATCCCAGTTACTTACAAAGTTTCAAATTTGGGACCATTTAAAAATTTCAGGTTTATCAAGTTCAACTTAACATTGAATCTAATAAAATAAAAAGTTCTGTTGACCTTAAATTTATAAACTTAGTAGCATTGAGGTTGACAAGATGGGCTAGTCATAGCTCCCAAGGCTAATGACCTGATTTCCATTTCCAGAGCTCTCATGGTAAAAGGATAATACCTACACACTCCTCCAAGTTCTTCTCTTATTTCACATAGCCATTATGGTACACACTAACATATGAGACCACAACAGACACACACATCCCTCCATGCATACAAATAAGTACAAACAAAAAAGTAGTTTATTAGATATAGTCCAGTACTTTAAAACACAGCAGGCATAGTAAAGATTCTGTTTTTAGAAGTCTTCAGTCTTTAAGACCCGAGGCCTTAATCTTTAACTGGTTTTCTAAATTTTCCACAGCATCTTTTAGATAGTCTTCATCTTTAAAAAAATATACATATAATTCTCTTTCTACTTGAAGCAATTTATCAGTTGTCAAAGTTCTTCTTTTTGTCTTCACATCAGCGAGAATATCAGTAAGGAGATGCTTTAGTTTATTCAACTGAGATTCAACTTGATGAAAGTGCTCTATTAACTCCTGAAATGGGAAGAAAAGGCTTTTATTTCAAGAACCTTATTCCAACATCAACTAGAAATTTAAAATATAATTTAAAAGGAAATTCTGTGATTTAATAACCCCTCATAATAAAAACCCATATCAAACTCTTAATCTCAATGCTTAGAGACAGAGGCAGGAATATCTCTGAGTTCCAGGCTAGCCATATTTACACAATTAATTCCAAACCAACCAAGGAGTACACAGTGAGATACTGTCTTTAAAAAATAAACGAAAGAAAAACAAAAATCTGTAATTAAAGATCACTGGGCTGAAGAGATGGCTCAGTGGGTAAAGGTGCTTGCTATCAAGTCTAATGACCTGTTTGATCCCCCAAACCTACATGCTTGAAATAATAGACTTCCAATTGTCCTCTGATCTTTAGACATGTGTGCACCACTCTACACACAAAAATAAGTGCAATGAAAAGTTTTGGGCATGTGCTCATGTCTGCAATCCCAGTAGTAAGAAAGCTGAGGCAAGATTGCTATAAGTTTGAGGATTGGAATATATAGTGAGTTCTACACTAACCTAGACTGCAGCGTGAGACCCTATGTCAAGCAAATAAACAAGAAAGCAAACAAGAAGTTTCCACCAGATTTACAGTCTATACAAAGTTAACTATAATAAACACCTAAAGATAATTCTGAAATGACTCAGTGCAAACTCTCACTTCCTAAAGTGTACCTGATCTGTTCCATGTGTTCATATAATCAACAAATATTATTGAATGCCTACTTAGTATCAAGCACTGTTTTATAGCTATTGACATAAAAACAAAGAACAAAAACTTTCTCATGAAGGTCTTATTAATGAAACTTCATTGTAGTTTAATCTGTGCCTGAGACATATAAAGGCAGGAAAAACCTTGAAGTCTAATTAAAAAAAAAACTTGCTTCAGAATGGACCCACAAATGCTTTGTTATGGGGGTGGGAGAAGCTCAGGAAGCTCTCCCTCCATCTCTTCAAGAGGATATACAGGCAGTTAACAGATGGGAGGGAGACTTTTTTGGGTAGTAGAGTTGCCAGTAAGTTAACTGCCCATGCTCCAGTAATTGGCCTCTCATTTAAATCCTGTTATTGCAATTAAACTCACTGGTTCACCAAACTAGACTCAGGTGGAATCCTTTATTCATTTCTGTCATTGGTGAGCCTCAGCTAGGTGAGTAGATGGTTTATTCACATCACCTGAAGAACTTGAAATATCAGTGGGGTAGATTTTGGGAAATCAGGCAGACCACCAACCATTGATTATATCTGGCTCCACATTGACTAAAGGATACATGAAGCCACAATTGTCCTGGGGTCACTAGAAACGATATGTAGGTTATTTGAGTATATTATATAATCACAGTGACAATAAAAATACACAGTAGCATGCTTTCTTCAATCATTAAAAAAAAAAAAAACCTGCCTCACAAAAACTTCCTTTTCTCTTTTTTTCTGTTCTGTAAAATGAAATTACACAGAATACTTAATGAAAACCATGCTAACACATGTAATTCTGCTTAAGAACTTGTGAAAGCCTTAATGTTTAATAAATTTGATTTCTTCACTTTTGGCATTTAAAGGATTTTAACAAGTCTCTAGAGTTGTTCAATCAAATATTCTTCAAAACTGAGGGTCTCCTAAAGTTGTAGCTATAACTACTTCCAATATTCCAGAGCTTCTGGGCATGGAGTACAAGCAACTGGGTGCTTGTTATAAAATACAATTCCTGGGCCTCAATTCAGGCTAAGTTATTCAATCTCTGCAACAGAGCCAGGAATCAACATTTCAATACTCTGCTCCCTGTACAAATTAATTTTAATGGACAAATTAAAAAATGACTGCTTTTAGACCTGTCATGTATGCCTATTTCACAGATTAGTACTGTGAAAAAAAGGAGAAAAAAAAGCATGTATCGTACATATAGAGAGTTTAAATACATAAAAGCAATCCTCTATTTGCTAAAATAACAAGTTTTCTTTCTTAACATAGCATCAATATTATTTATCCTTTTATCCAGATTTTTTTTTGTTTTTTTTTGTTTGTTTTGTTTTGTTTTTTTGAGACAGGGTTTCTCTGTGTAGCCTTGGCTGTCCTGGAACTCACTCTGTAGACCAGGCTGGCCATGAACTCAGAAATCCGCCTGCCTCTGCCTCCCAAGTGCTAGGATTAAAGGCGTGCGCCACCACTGCTTGGCAATATATCCTTTTATAGTGGCTGAAAGTTTTATAAATTTTCAAATTCCATACATGAAACTCAAAATTACTTGAAAAAAAATATATAAATTGGGAGTTAAAAAGAAATCGTAAGATTTCTGTATGGTGGCATAAGCCCATAATCTGGGAGATTTTGAGCTGGAGACCAGCATAGGCTACATAACAAGACTGTCTCTCAAATTCAAGTAAATACTATATTAGTTTAATGGAATAGGATAATCTTTTCTTCATAATATTTTTTATAAGAAACATTTTTAAAGTTATTATTTTTTTCATTTGAATAAGTATTTTTGTTTGCATGTATGTATGTGATCCACATGTATGCCTGGTATCCACAAAAGCAGAGGACATCAGAACCAGAGTCACAGATGGTTGTGAGCCACCAAGTCCATGTGGGTGCTAGGGATGCAACATGAGTCCTCTACAAGAGCAGCAAGTGCTCTTTAACTACTGATCGAGCTCTCCAGCTCCTTATAATAAACAGAATTTTTAAAGCATTATAAATGTCTAGGTAAACAATCACCTGATCACAAAGCAATAGCTGATTCCCTCCACGATACAAAGCATCACAAAGCATGTCCACGTCATTATTCAGTTTGGACAAAAAGAAAAAATGCTCTTGAGTAGATACTGCCAACTGATCTTGTATTTGAGAAACATCTTGTTTCAATTTTTCA